GTTAATTATTTCGTTGTCGTACAGTTATATCAGCTTGGCGATAACACACACCATTACACGACAACGAACGTAAACACCAAACGCGTATTTAATCAAGGGTTGAAGCGAGGGTTGTAATCAAGCGAAATGAGAGTACTCGTGCAAAACACTATCATCGTGAACACTAGAGCGCCGTTCGATATCCATGTCACACGTTTAAATATCTCCTTGAAACAAAGAACTAGCCCAGGGATGTGGAAATCTTTTAATCTCTCTTGATGGATCGACTCGACGAGCAAACGGGGCGAGTACCGTCGCGACCGATTTCACGTGAAATCACTAAAACAGCTCCCTCAATCCCCTCCTCTTCGTAGAGAGAAACAGAGAGAGGGAGATAAAGGGAGAGAGCTATTCCTTCTAAACACGAGTCTAACCGAGAATTTTTCTCGAATGCAAATCTCGAGGTTTCGATCTATCTACCGAAAAAAATATCCTCTCTTCAACGGGAGAGGAAATTCGTTTCCACGCGGAATCACCCTCTCTTATTTCCTATCCGCGTCCGTGCGAGAGGGTTGCCTCGAATGTTTTTCGGACATTGGGAATGTACGGACGGCTTTAAGGCGGGTGGGTTTTCGCTCGCAGTGATCAATCATCGGTGGCTGTTATCCACATACCTTTCTCTTTTCTTTTCTTTTCTTTTTCCTTTTCTTTTCCCCCTTCTACCGCCATGCCTCGTGAACCATACGCTAAAATATGAAAGAAAGCAGAGAGGAGGTGGGGAGGGGATGTTGGCGGTCGCGCGACCAACCCGCTTCCTTCGAGGAAGTTATTCGAATGGGTTAAATTCGAAAGGGATTTTGGAAAGTATCTCGCGCGGTCTCTGGACAAGGAAAGTGAAAATACATTTCGGAAATACGTACGTTCTTTTGGAAAGAGGGAAGAGGAAGATCCAAGTTGGGAGGGACTCGAGTTCGAGGTTTGAGGGATGAGCCAATGTCCGAAAAACATTATGCATTATTTATGAGTTCTCTTTCTGCGCGTTCGCGTGAATTGTTCTTGTGGATCGATCCATTTCGAAACAGTGTGTGCTATATTATATACGGAGATCGATCGAAATTCTTACGTGTTAATTCGACGACGCGGGAGGCGTGGTATTACGAAATCGTTACACGTGCTCCCAGTAGCACACTGGCTACGTGTGCTCTTTGCCGGTTGCTAATTTACGCCCGGTCGTCGACGTGCATGGGACACCTGTCGCAGTTTGTCCGCCTCTATTGGCGTTATATGTTACTGCTTCGCTATTTTCGTGCCATGCTTAACACAAAAAGGGGGGGTGGCATCACGAGCTCAAGGGTAAGGAACGACAAAGTGCGGGAGAAGAAGAAGTTTCGCAAACTTTTACCTCGAAATTTTTACCTCTC